GACATGTAAATGGTGAGTGCATTGTTGATGCGATGGAAACGACGCGTGTATTCCGACGATTTAGCTCGCATTCGAGTGAAAAACCTCCACAGAAGAAAAAGTTTTGCACCCGGGGCAGGAAAAGAGCCGCACTCACTAAAAACCTGCCCAATCAATCACACGCGCAATATCGGCGTGCGCTGCACTTTTGGTCGATCGAACCTACTGTGTATTAGACTACCGAGCGAGTATCAGTGTGCCATGGGTTGGGTTGCGCGTCCAGGCCCGAGAGCATGGTGTCCATCAGGGGATTCCAAGAACTCTCATCTCGGGTTCGGCGCTGGTCGGCAAATGGCAAACTGAACTGCACTTTGACTTGACGCGAGGCTTCGATATATTTTTATCGAAAGGGACCGTCGTATTTTATATGCTAGGCGATATTATAATCCAACCACACTGTTATTGGTACACATTTAAATTCCGTTTATTTTTTGCGACCCCCAACGGTAAATAATATTGAGCACAACTGCGTCGAACCCATGGGAATAACAAAGGGTGGTCATCGATGATCGCTCCTTTCCATGGTAAGCTTACCTTCTCCATACCTCGTCGGAGGTTTTTCAAATAAAAATATATGGCACTTTTTTTAAATACATAATGACTTTTGAATAAAATGATGGACGGCGGCGCGCACGTCGAGCGCCCGGGTCCAAGGGTCTATCTCCCGTAGAAGAGGTCGCAGCCCTGCGCCAATAGTGCGCAACGATGCGCAAGAGCATTGCGCATCGAACAATCTATGACGCATAGCGCTACGATTAGTATTTTGGGATAAATGTTGGATCGCTCTCCCCAAAACCGATGGGCCCAGAGTGAGCTTCTGCGGATATCGATTTGAACACCCCCGCACGCGACCGCAACGACAAGATTTGGACACGAGCTTAATCAAAGCGATACGTGTCTGCTGTTCAAAAGGTTTCAGGGATCTCGAGGGATATCGCATCGGACTCGTGTGCGGAAGCGAGGCCGTTTCCAGTACGCTTTTATCATATCCGTCTCAATCACTGACGCTCGAAATCTGCGATGTCGCCTACGCCCAAGCCTGCGCCCAAGAGAAATGGGTGCGTCGGCAGCTGTGGGAAACGGAAGAATGCGAACGCATTATAATACGCGAATCGAGCGACGA